ACTTTGGCCCGGCCCCGGACCTCCCTGACTGGCACAGCCTGCTCCGCCAGGGCGTGCCGATCTTTGAGTTAGACATGGATCAGATAGGTGCTGCTTTGCATGCCTTGTATTCAGATGCTGCTAGTGTTGCTGGATCTTATTACCCTGTGTTCTCTAGTTTAGGTGTTGCACCGTTGTGTAGCCTAGCCTCCCCTGCTGCGTCAGGCGTAGGACTGCCTAGTTTGTCTAGCCTCGTCTCTGCACCGGCTCCGTTCCCTGCCCCCGCCACTGCGGCGCTGTCCTTCACTCTCGACTCCGGTGCTTCTGCCTGCTTCTTCCGCGACCGTTCCGCGCTCACGCCGCTTGCTACGCCAGCTGTCGTCTCTCTTGCTGACCCCTCTGCGGGTCCTGTCGTCGCTCGCAGTTCTACGTCCCTTCCCTGTCCAGCAGTTCCCTCGGGCTCCCTTACAGGCCTCCACGTTCCCTCATTCTCGAGGAACCTGGTTGGTGTCGGCTGTCTCCAGGACCTCGGCGTCACCACCACGTTCCCCGGGCACGAGCGGTTCGCTGTCTGTTCTGAGGCTGTCTCAGGTTCCCCCCTTGCGACGTTCCCCCGGGACCCGGTGTCCGGTCTGTTTACCCTACACACCGCTTCCCCTCCGGTTGGTGCGTCCTCCCAGGTTGCTGCAACTTGCTCGTGTCGTTCCCTCACTCACCCGTCCCTTCTCTGGCACCACCGCTTAGGTCACCCTGCTCTCCCTCGTCTGCGTCACATGTCCCAGCACGGCCTTGTCTTAGGTCTCCTGCGTCACTCCCCGCCCTTCCTCCCTCGACTGCGCCACCGTGCACGCCTTGCGTCGAGGGTCGGCTCCGCCGTGCCCCACACTCCTCCTCGCTGCGCCCGGCTACTCCCCCCTTCAGACCCTCCACCTGGACGTTTGGGGCCCTGCCCCCGTCCCCGGACCGCGCAGTGAGCGCTACTTCCTTGTGCTCGTCGACGACTACACACGCTACACCACGGTGTTTCCCCTAGAGCGGAAGGCCGACGTGCCCGACGTTCTTCTCCCGTGGGTTGTGGCTGCGCGTCTCCACCGCGGTCTCCCCGTGCTGTGTCTCCACTCCGACCGTGGCGGCGAGTTCGCCTCTGGTCGGCTTGGACAAATCTGTCGTGCGGAGGGCATCACCCAGTCGTACACCTTGCCGGACTCGCCACAGCAGAATGGGGTTGCTGAGCGCCGCATCGGCTTGGTCATGGAGGTCGCCTGTACCTCCATGATCCATGCCGATGCCCCCCATTTTCTGTGGCCGTTCGCTGTTCGCTACGCTGCTCACCAGCTTAACCTGTGGCCACGCTCCCAGCGGCCGCAGGTTTCGCCGACTCTCCTTTGGACCGGGTCCCCCGGTGACGCGTCTGCGTTCCACGTCTGGGGCTGCCTTGCTCACGTTCGTGCCTCTGGCACGGACAAGCTCACTGCCCGCACTGTCCCCTGTGTCTTCCTCGCTTTCCCCCTGGACTCGTCTGACTGGCTTTTCTACCATCCGCCGTCTCACCGCTTCCTCCACTCTCGTGACGTTACCTTTGACGAGTCGGTCTCCTTCTACCGCCGCTTCCCTCACCGAGGTCTCTCAGTTGCCCCCCCCCTTTTCCTTGCTCCCTCTCCCCCGGTAGCCCCTGCCCCTCTCCCGCCTCGTCCTGCCCCGTCTGGTGTCTCTCACGTCACTCCCCTCCCGTCGGTTGTCCCCGTTGAGGAGTCTGCTGACTCTGGTGGTACCCCCGGTCTGTCCTTGCCGCGTCCCCCTTCCCCGGTGCCTCCGCCCCCACTGTCGCAGTCGCCGACCCCGCTGCAGCCGCCGTCGCCGCCGCAGCCGTCCCCGCTGTTGCCGCCGCCGCAGTCGTCGCCGCCACTGCCGCTGCCGCTCTTGGCCCCTGGGGGTGCTGGTGTGGAGGAGGGTGTTCGTCCTGCGGCGTCTGGGGGTGCCGCTGGTGTTGGAGGGGGTTCTCGCTCTGGGGGTGTTGGTTCTGGGGGTGCTGCTGCTGAGTGTGCTGCCGACGGTCGTTCTGCCTCTCCTGGTCCGAGGGTTCCGGCCCAGCCATCGTCGCCGCCGTAGCAGCCGTCGCCGCCGGTCTCCGCTCTCCGCCTGCTCGGCCTTCCCTCCCCGGACCGTGCGACGGTGTCTCCCCCACCGCCTGCTGACCTTCCTGTCTACGGTCCTGTGTTCCCGCCGCCACACTCGTCTCCGGCCCATCTTCCTCCTCGTTCCCCTCCTGTGTCTCCTCCGCTGTCCCCTGACCATACACCTCCGTCTCACATTTGGGCTCGCTGTCCCTCCCGTGCTCGTCCCGTCTCTCCTGTCCTGCCCTCCCACCCTATGTTGCTCCGTTCCCACTCGTCTCGTCCTCCCCTCCTCCCATCCCCTCCTCCCTCGTCCCTTGCTGTTGCACCTCCTCCTTTCTCTGACTACCTCCGTTCTGCTCGTCCCCTTGTCCCTCGGGTTCTTGCCTCGCTTGTTACCAACCCTTCTGTTCCTGTCTCGCGCCTTGACGCGCTTGTCGCTGCTGTCGCTGACTTCGCCTCTACCCGCCGCCTTGACTACGCTACCGCTCTGGTCTCTGACCCTGCCCGTCCTCCGTCCGTCGGGGGTGCTCCTGCCCTTGGCAGTGACGTCCTAGAGGACAGGCAGTACGAGCTTGCTTTCCTTTCCGAGGCTGCTCCCCATCTCTGCTCCATGCTGTTAGTCCCTGAGGGTGACCCAGACGCCTTCGACATCCCGACCCCTCGCACCTACGCTGAGGCAACCTCGGGACCTTGGGCCTCTCAGTGGATAGCTGCCATGGAGCAGGAGATGACATCTTGGAGGTCCACCGGCACCTACGTCGACGCAGTTCCCCCGCCTGGGGTGAACGTAGTCGATGGTCGGTGGCTCTTCAAGGTGAAGCGCCCCACTGGAGAGCCGCCTGTATTCAAGGCGCGCTACGTGGCCAGAGGTTTCAGTCAGCGCGAGGGGGTTGACTTCTTCCAGACCTTCGCCCCGACCCCGAAGATGACCACTCTTCGGGCGCTGCTACACGTAGCAGCACAGTGCGACTACGAGCTTCACTCCCTCGACTTCTCTACTGCGTTTCTTCAGGGCAGCCTACACGAGCAGGTCTACCTGCGCCGACCACAGGGCTTCACTGGTACCTTCCCTCCTGGGACCCAGTGGCTTCTCAGGCGCCCGGTCTACGGCCTCCGTCAGGCTCCCCGCGAGTGGCACGACACGCTACGTGCCACGTTAGCAGACCTGCAGTTCTGCTGACCCTTCACTGTTTGTGCGTTCCGGCCAGACTCCGTTCTACATCCTTGTCTACGTAGACGACCTGGTCTTCGCTACTCCTGACAGGGACGCACTGGCCTCTGTGAAGACTGAGCTGCTGAAGAGACACACCTGCACTGACCTTGGAGAGTTGCGTCGCTATCTTGGCCTGCAGATCTCTAGGGACAGAGCAGCACGCACGATCACTCTGACCCAGTCACACTTGGTGCGTCAGGTCCTTCAGAGGTTCGGTCTACAGTTCTCCTCTGCACAGCCCACACCTCTACCTGTAGACCACGGGCTTTCCGTTCCTGTTCCTGCGGAGCCAGTAGAGCCCAGTGGCCCCTACGCAGAGCAGGTGGGTTGCCTCATGTACCTGATGACCTGCACTCGCCCAGATCTTGCATACCCTCTCAGCATCCTGGCTCGCTTTGTGGCCACTGGCAGACACCGACCACAGCACTGGTCGGCCGCTAAGAGGGTTTTGCGATATCTAGCAAGTACATCAGGCATGGGGTTAGTGTTAGGAGGACGCAGGCCAGTGGTCCTCACTGGGCACACAGACGCTTCTTGGGCAGACGACTCTGAGACGCTCAGGTCGTCGCAGGGCTTCTGTTTTAGCCTTGGTTCAGGTGCTATCTCTTGGAGATCCACTCGCTCGTCGTCTGTTGCTCAGTCGAGCTGTGAGGCTGAGATCTACGCCGGTGCCATGGTGGCACAGGAGCTTCGTTGGCTGACCTTCTTGCTCACAGACTTAGGTGAGCGGCCTAGCTCTGCCCCAGTCCTGTACGCTGACAACAGGGCCATGATACTCCTGTGTCAGGAGCCTCGACTTGAGGGCAGAGCGAAGCACATCCAGCTGCGGTACTTCCTTCTGCGCGAGCTACAGCAGCGCCGCCAGGCCCACGTAGTTCACTTGGCCTCAGGTGCCAACACAGCTGATATCTTTACGAAGGCGCTTGCGCCTAAAGATCATCAGCGGCACTGTGTACAGCTCGGTCTAGTTCCTGTAGCCTCTCACTTGCTAGGACCTTGACTTACTGCTGTCCTATATATATCTATATATGTACTCAGACTGGACTTGTGTCCTCTCCCAGTGGCTGGACTAGTAGTGCCGCCCTGGTCTTGTTCTTGTCTTGCCTGTACTCCTTTTGACTGGTCTTTAGACCCTTGTCTCAGTGGCTGGACTAGTAGTGCCGCCCTGAGCTGCTTGTTCAGGATTTGCCCCTATGCAGTCTAGGGGGTGTGTCAAATATATGTATAACTCATATTTGTATAGACTGTATAGGGTCACCTCTTAGAGGGTACAACACTCTTAGGTATATACCCTTGTTCTCTCTCTCTATCAAACACTTGTTTCAGTTTTCTTCTCGACACTTAGCCGATATTTGTCGATTATTGTGGGGTGTGTAGGGGGAATGTCTGTACAATTAGGACGGCCAATTTTTGTAGGTTGCTGTGTGTGTGGGGGTAATGTTTCTAGAGGGGGACATCGCCGAAATTTAAGGGCTGTGAGGCACATGAATATCGCATTCAAGGTTCGTTCGTACGCGCTGCTCCTTGAAAACTCAGTATTGGCATGACGCAATCCCTGAAATCCCAAGTGTTCATAAACTTACAACCCTGAAGGGGCTAGGGTTAAGAAAAGTCCAACCCTGAAAATTAAGGGAAATCAGGGAAAAATACCCTGTGAAATCAGGGAATCAGGGTAAAATACCCTGATAACGACAGGCCTGGTAGAGTGTTGTTGTCCCCTCTAAGAGCTGACATAGCTAGCCTATAACAACATATCGACTCTAACTAGATATGTATATATAACAATATATGTTTGTTGACAACTTCACATACTTCGCCAACAACTTCGCCAAGTCTTCCGCCACGCTTTTCCCTCTATTTAACCCACCCCGCTATTCTCTAGCTGATTTAGGCCAAGCGGCCTAACAACGCCTTGACCGTGGCTAGGTGTACAGTGATGCAGTCTATGGCATTGTCAGCATCCTCCCAGCTGCGTCCCACACATGTGACCTGAAGGCCGATGTCTCTCTGGAGGGCGGCTTCAGCTGCGAGTAGATCACCGAGCCGAATTTCTGAGTCTGACTCACAGGTGAGCGTTACCTACTGAGCCGACCTCAGCTGCGAGGTACACGACCGTGACAGCCCCAATGCTGCCGTGCCTTGCCCTCCTTCCAGCACCTCAGGTTCTTCCAGTGCCCCTGCCTTGGCACACCAAAGGTCATGCCTTGTCCGTTGCCAGGTGTATGGTAATGCAGTCAATCGCATTCTCCGCATCCTCCCAGCTCCTCCCCACGAACGTGACCTGCATGCCGATGTCTGTCTGCAGGGCCGGCTTCAGCTGCGAGTATATCACGGTGACGGCGCCGCTGCTGCCACCGCCCGCCTTCACATCGGGTTCTCCCAGCGCTTCTACTACTTCCTTGGCTTTCATACACACCCTGGGGTGAAAGGAGAGCAGAGGAGGGGAGGAGAGGACGGAAGCAGGTGAGTACGGATGCACGAAGTTCTCTCGGAGGAGAGGCTAGTGCGACAATGATCTTGACGGCAGAGCTGCTGCCGCCACCTGCTTTCTTGTCAGGTTCTCTCAGCGCCCGCACCACCTTCCTGGCTATCTTGATCACCCTAGGAGGAAAGGAGAAGCAAAGGAGGAGATGAGGACAATGACAGTGATGGGCCCACTGCTCCCGCCCCGTACCATGATGTCCTGGTACATCACCCTGGTACATCACCCTGGTACATCACCCTGGTACATCACCCTGGTACATCACCCTGGTACATCACCCTGGTACATCACCCTGGTACATCACCCTGGTACATCACCCTGGTACATCACCCTGGAACATCACCCTGGAACATCACCCTGGTACATCACCCTGGTACATCACCCTGGTACATCGCCCTGGTACATCACCCTGGTACATCACCCTGGTACATCACCCTGGTACATCACCCTGGTACATCACCCTGGTACATCACCCTGGAACATCACCCTGGTACATCACCCTGGAACATCACCCTGGTACATCACCCTGGTACATCACCCTGGTACATCACCCTGGTACATCACCCTGGTACATCCCGCCCCCCCTACGCCTTGACCGCCACCTGGGCATCCACCCTGACAGAACGCCATGGAACTGGCAGAGAGATGAGGCGAGGAAGGGGAAGAGGAAAAGAGGGAATGAGAGACCAGAAAAGAAACGGTTTCAGACAAGTAGAGCCGGGGAGATGAGGAGACGGAGATGTGGCGAGGCAGGAGTGGGAGATGGGCCGAGGGGACGGAGATGGAGGAGACGAGGAGAGGGGGAAGACGAGGAGAGGGGGGAGACGAGGAGAGGGGGGAGACGAGGAGATGGGGGAGACGAGGAGAGGGGGAAGACGAGGAGAGGGGGGAGACGAGGAGAGGGGGCAGACGAGGAGAGGGGGGAGACGAGGAGAGGGGGGAGACGAGGAGATGGGGGAGACGAGGAGAGGGGGGAGACGAGGAGAGGGGGGAGACGAGGAGAGGGGGAGACGAGGAGAGGGGGAGACGAGGAGAGGGGGGAGACGAGGAGAGGGGGAGACGAGGAGAGGGGGGAGACGAGGAGAGGGGGAGACGAGGAGAGGGGGAGACGAGGAGAGGGGGAGACGAGGAGAGGGGGGAGACGAGGAGAGGGGGGAGACGAGGAGAGGGGGGAGACGAGGAGATGGGGGAGACGAGGAGAGGGGGGAGACGAGGAGAGGGGGGAGACGAGGAGAGGGGGGAGACGAGGAGATGGGGGAGACGAGGAGAGGGGGGAGACGAGGAGAGGGAGGAGACGAGGAGATGGGGGAGACGACCTGCTGACGGTGACATGCCAGGCCCCAGGTCAAGTGACTTGTGAGTCGACTCGGAAGCCAATAGCTGCCTCGCGCTGATCGTTGCATGCGTATCTTGCTCTCCAAGCCGAATTGGTTTTGAGAATTCTCGAAACCAGCTCTCCAAGCCAAGAGATGTGTAGCAGAGCGTACACGCGCAGGGTGGAAAGTGGCACGCCGGCATGCATGCTACGCACTTGCCTGGACACTCACTTGAAGCACTTGAAACACCTTCAGAAGAGGCTACGAGGCACATGCACTTACCTGAGCCCAAACGGGAGCGCGCCAGCAAACGCCATGCACCCATGCACGTTGCTGTACATGTGCACGGCGGCTATCCCCCGCTCCTCCTCACACAGCGACAGCCCCAACGCCCTGTAGTTGACGTACTCACATGGCGCCCTGCCCGCTCACGCTACTGGAAGCACAATCCGAGGAGCTCTAGCAGCCCTGCCCTTGAAGCTCTAGACGCACTGGAGGCACTGGAGGCACTAGAGGCACTAGAGGCACTAGAGGCACTAGAGGCACTAGAGGCACTAGAGGCACTAGAGGCACTAGATGCACTAGAGGCACTAGACGCACTAGAGGCACTAGAGGCACTAGATGCACTAGAGGCACTAGAGGCACTAGCGGCACTAGAGGCAATGGAGGCAAACACACTCACTTGAGTCCGAATGGAAGTGTGCCAGCAAATGCCTTGTAGCCGTGCACATTGCTGTACACGTGGACAGCGGCTATCCTCCCCTCCTCCACACACAGCGACAGCCCCAGCCGCTTGTAGTTCACGTACTCACACGCCGCCCGCCCCCTCACCGCTGGAAACGCCTTTCTCTCTGGCTCTAGCTCGCTGCTGGCAGCCGCTCCACTGCTGTCCCTGCTGCTTGAATTGTTGCTGCTGCTGCTGGTGGTGTTGGCACTGCTGCTGCTACCGCTGCTTGCGAGGCTTGCAAGGGCTTGAGTGGCGATGGGGTCGTCCGGGCTGCGATCGAGAAGGCTCAGCACAGATGACGCCATGGCAGGCTGGTGTGGGATGCCTGGATGGCAGGATTCAGAGTGCCGTTAGGAGGATCAGAAAGCAGTGCTGTGATTGGCGCTGGAAAAAGGAATGGGAGGGGGATGGGTCGAAAGAGGGATGGGAGGGGGATGGGTGGAACGTTGAATGGGAGGGGGAGCAGGTGGGTCGACCGACACCAATGCAAACTACCAGAAAAGCCCCGTCTTGGAGTGCACCTTTCCTATTGCATTCCAGCGAGGGGTGGCAATAGTGAAGCCAATCGCACGGGCGGTTGATGTTACAGAGAAGAGACAAAAGAAGGAGGGAAAGAGAAAAGGGTGGGGAATGGGGGAGGCGGGCGGGGAAGGGAGAGAGGGAGTGCGGCGGGAAAGAGAAGGTCGGGACAAAGGCAAGAGCAGGTGGAGGGAGACTCTTGAGTCGACTCAACAGGAGGGAGAGAGGGAGCGACTTTTGAGTCGACTCAAAAGGAGAGAGAGAGGGAGCGGGGTGGGAAAGAGAAGGTTGGGACAAAGGCAAGAGCAGGTGGAGGGAGAGAGGAGGAGGAGGGTGAGAGAGAGAGCAGTGGACATGTGAGGGAGAAGAGGGCAGCGGTGAAAACGAGTAGTCGTGGGTTGGGGTGCCGACGAGGTGACTTTTGAGTTGACTCAAATGAAAACGAGGAGTCGTGGGTTGGGGTGCCGACGAGGTGACTTTTGAGTCGACTCAAATGAAAACGAGGAGTCGTGGGTTGGGGTGCCGACGAGGTGACTTTTGAGTCGACTCAAATGAAAACGAGGAGTCGTGGGTTGAGGTGCCGACGAATGCACGGGGGAAAGGGCGCCAGTGCGCCATGGAGCAGCCTGTTCGCCCTGCATCAGTACGAGATTCCCTTAGTCAGATCGCGCTGCGAAGAGGCTGCTCCTGAGTCATATTGGACTGCTCCAGCTCACTGTTTTTTCACTCTCCTCCAGCTCACTGTTCATTCACTCTCCTCCAGCTCACTGTTCATTCATTCTCCTCCATTCGCTTGCTGCGTGCCTCCTAAGGGCGTGGCGCATAGGGTTTCACAACTTGGTGGGGTTACACCATTCGTCAAAATCGTTGATCCAGTTGGCGAAACCCAGTTATTCAAGTTTGCTTGGCCACATTCAAAACCGCAACCCGGGTTTCGCAACACGGAGCGCAACTGGGTGTACCGGCCGAATTACACAATTCATATGAATTGCGCAACCAATGTTCCAGTCGCGTAAATCGGGTATTAGCCGAAACCGCAACCAGTTGCGCAATTCTTAAAGCGCAACCCACCAAAGTTGCGCAACCCAGCCAGGTCTCAAACTAGTGAAGTCGCCCATCAAACTGGGCCCAGTTGGATGTGGTTTGGGTTGGTAACCCCATCCACCTCACACAAACCCAAAGAGCACACGTGCCTTGTCGCAGGGGGCATGTGATGTGACAATATTTCGCACAAGGGCGTTGCCAACTGCCAACCACCTAAGCTACCTCCATCGGCCAGCAAGCCAGCCTGTCGGCCCTCGGTCCACACTCCTCTCCTTCGCTGCGGCCCGCGTTCCTCACCCTTCCGGCCGCCGCGGTTGCGTTTCCCTCCGCCCACCTCTTCTCCCCATTCCGCTTACCCTCCTCCTTATCTGCCGCCTCCTCCTCTCCCCGCTCACCTCCTCCTCTCCCCGCTCACCTCCTCCTCTCCCCGCTCACCTCCTCCTCTCCCTCCACCTTCCTTTCCCGCTCACGGTCAGCTCCTCTCGCCTTCTTTCTCCGCGCTCGCCGCCCTCTATTTCCGCAGCCCACGCCCTCTCTCTTTCAGCATGCCACTTCCCCTCTTTCCGCCTACTCGCCGCCCACTCGTTCGGCACGCCGTAACCCTAAACCGACGAGTTGTCTCTGCTTCCTGCATTCTTCCCCTAAGCTTGATTCCGCCTACCTCGCCATGTTGTGTGTTTGCCCTTGTCCCCCAGCGGCCGCGCTTCACGGTGGCGTTCTACGCCCTGGTCCGCCGCGTCGTCGCCAGGCGCTGCCGTCCAAGCTAGATCAGCGCGCCGGTCCCTTGAGAGTAGGCGAGCCTCGTCTAACAAATCCTATCACTGCCTACCGCGTGGAAGGGGGGCACCACGCGCGAGGCTCAGAGAGAGGCCTGGTAGTTCGTGCCTACAACTGGTCTTGTTGTCGAGGGAGGGGCGTCTAGGCGGTTTGTGTGGAGAGGAGAGGCAGAGAGGTGCCTGCCTGTACATTCGCTGGATGGTCCGTTTTCTCGCCCGTGAGGTCTTCCTGCAAAATACTGGAGTGCCATTCTAGGCGTGACGAGATGACTTGTTTCCCTCAGGGCGTGTCCAGCACGTTCATTTTGCCCAACTCGAGTTTTTGACGTTTTTTGGGTTGCGGAGCAACCTATTGCGATCGATCGGACGAGATTTTTTTTCAAGTTTTATCAAGTTTTATGAAAATAGGAAATTAATTGAAGCTAAGTGAAGGGGAGTATTGGCAATATGTAATAGATGGCTCATCTAAACTTACATAGCTTCATTAGCATAAAATTAGCTTTGCAAATAACTGAAACATGTGCCATATCACTATTACAACATAATACTTGAAACGAAACAATGATGGAAAAGATTTCATGTTTTCCACCATTTCGCGATATCTGGAAGGGACCAATTGAGACGTGTAATATAGTGTAATGTAGTAATTACACTATGGTACTGGAAAATATAACAAAATGATTGGAAAAAAAGAACAAAAATGTAAATGTTTCCCATCAATTCGCGTGACATATTTTTGTCGGAGACAAAAATAGGCAATCACTTCCCAAGCTAAGTGGGGGAAGTTGAAAGCTTAATGGACAGGTAACATTTCATTTTTTTTAAGCAATGCACTTTGCGATTGCAAGAAAATAGATTGCACTTATCATCTCCAGTTCAAGTGACTGCACTGAAGGTGGAAAGTCAAAGAACCTTACTCGAGACGATCAGTACAATCTTTTTTATCGCATGCACAAAATGCATTACCCGTGTATCAAGCAAGCAGTAGCAGAATAGAGAAGGGCAGCAACGCAAAGCAAATGGCAGCGATACAACACTTCGACCCCAAAATACATCACGAGAAAGAAAGGCGACAAGTAGAAGCGATTGAAACATGTTATGTGATGTGGCAATCTATTGTAGATAAAAAGCACAGTTGGAAACCAGAGATCCTTTCTAACGGCATTCCTGAAGCACCAATACACGTGGCAAAAAAAAAGAGATAACATGAAAAGAACACAAGTTTAGTTGAGAAGATAATGCATGGTAGAACTCGGGAAATGGAAATGAGGATTGTAGAAATGAACGTCTCATGCGATAAGAGTAAAAAATGGGACGAGAAAGATAGAGAGGGAGAGAAAGAGAGAGAGAGAGAGAGAGAGAGAGAGAGAGAGAGAGAGAGAGAGAGAGAGAGAGAGAGAGAGAGAGAGAGAGAGAGAGAGAGAGAAAGAGAGACAGAGAGAGGGTTAGAGAGGGAGATAGTGGAAGAGAAAGAGAGGGGGAGAGAGGTAGAGAGAAGGGGGGGCAGAGAGAGAGAGAGGGAGGTAAAGGACAAGAGGGAGAGAGGTAAGGCGAGAGAGGGAGAGAGAAAGGTGGCTGAGAGAGAACGGTAGAGAGGGAGAGGGAGAGAGAGAGAGAGAGAGAGAGAGAGAGAGAGAGAGAGAGAGAGAGAGAGAGAGAGAGAGAGAGAGAGAGAGAGAGAGAGAGAGACAGAGAGAGAGAGAGAGAGAAATGGGTGAGTGAGAGAATAAGAGAATGAGAGAGTGGATGAACGGGAGAACAAGACAAAGAGAAAATCCGAGAATCAGAGAATGATAGAATGTGTGAGTGGGAGAATGAGAGCGGGCGAATGGGAGAATGAGAGAGTGGGTGAGTGGGAGAATAAGAGAGTGGGTGAATGGGAGAATGAGTGAACGAAGACATTAGAGAATGAATGAATAAGAGAAAGAGTGAGTGTGTAAAAAGAGAAATGAGGAATGAAGAATGGAGGGAGGGGATGGAAGGCATGGAAGACAAGGGAGGCGTGGGAAGAGATGGACGGGGCGCACGCGCGCAATGTGCTAGCGCAGAACGCGCCCGCACACTAGGCAGCAGCGCGCAACGTGCCAGCGCGCCTCGCTATGCCCCGGCGCGCTTGGCGCCAACGCGCAACGGACGGCAGCCCCTTGAAATATTTTTTTTTGCTGCACCATACGACCCAGTATGGTGCAGCAAAAAAATATATTTCAAGGTGGAATGAATAGAAGCGTTACACATAGCTAGCAGTCAGGGAGATGATTAACATACCTGTGAGAGGTAAGGAGGCGTGTTAGGAACCGTTGCTGGCGAGAAACATGGGAGCAATAGGAGACAAGGGTTCAAGCTGGCGAGAAAAATGAGGATGAAACATCAAGCAATCTGGCCCTCGTCGCAAAGTTTTAAAACTGGAACTAAAAATCACTACTTAATACTAAGTCTGATTAGGACAATGGTCAGTGGCAATAGTTTATGGGGAATGTCGGGGTTCGAATTCTGGGATATGCCATGTGATGATTGTTTTGCTAGCCTAACCAAATCGAAGGGCGTATTCCTGTTTCCTGGTACTATGCGGTGTAACTGTTTAAAACGCGTTTGAGTACAGTGCAGTCGGATTTCTCGCATGTCTGATCCCGGGATCAGGTTCTAGGATTACGTCCTAAAGACCCAGATAAACTTTCACAACAAGTTATGTACAGTGTTTAGAAATCTGACGTATGGAAACAAAATCACGAAGTGCATTCAAATAGTAATTGCACTATATTTGTATGTTTCCAAGTGTAAAACGTAAGACAACATTTCATTAAATGTTTGTACGCATGATGTTGGAATGGAACGTACACGATATAATGTCAATAAAAAGTCAAATTGAGAAATGATAGCTCCGTAACCCTAAGACGATTCCAGCGACCCTTGTTTTTTTTTTTTTTTTTTTTTTTTTTTTTTTTGCGGAGAATTCTATTGTGATCGATCGAAGGAGATTTTTTTTTCAAGTTTAATTAACAATTTTGTGAAAAAAAACTATTATGTTGAAGTAAAAGATGGAGATTAGTGACCAATATAGTAGGAATCATTTATTTTAACTACATGGATTCATTAGCTTGACTATGTAAATAGTTGGATGAAAGTGCCATACTAGAACTACGTATAATGCTATATCTCAAAATAGACAATAATGGAAAACAAATGTGTTCACGTTTTCCATCATTTCTTGTTGTTGTGGTAAATGAAGTTTTGCATTCCTGCAAGTTCCGTTTTCAGTGTAGTTAGCAGTATCGAGTTTCTCAGTAAGTAACCATGCCCGAGTGCTGATGTCAGCAAAGCATCGTACGTCTCGAAGATGACGTCAGCATACCGCTTCAGTTACGCGAATAGGCGTAACGAGCCGCTTCAATCACGCGAACAGTGTTCAAATTATATAAGTTATAATTTAATATAGGCTTGGTAGGTTGTTACTGAACCTTTCTGTAGGGGGTACAAACCCCTCCTTGTACTCCCCTCTCTTCCTAATCCAACTCTCTTCTCTCTCGACACTCTCGTCCAGCTCCTAGCTAAACCCCGCCGCCACATTCATGGCGGCCTTGTTCCTGCCTATTATACTAGCCTAGAGCTACTTTAACATGGTATCAGAGCAGGCCGTTTCCGGTCCTGCCTTCCACGCTTCCGCCTCGTCCTTATCTTACGTTTCACTTCGTACCGTGCCGCTGATGGCGGCCTTTCGTTTTCCTGCCGCCGTGGCGGCCTTGCCTTTCCGTGCCGCCGTGGCGACTTCTCTGAGATGCCGCGGCGGCTTAGTCGAGCTACAGTCGCACCTCCGCCTCGCCGCCGCGGCATCGACGTCGCGCTGTGGCGGCGTCTGTTTGCTGCCGTGGCAGCGTCATCGGGCGACAGCCGGCCGCGCATCGTCAATGGTGCCGCCGGACCTGCCGCCCGCTCTGCAGCCGCCGGCGTGAGTCTGGACTACGCCCCGCGCCCCTCCCCCCCCCCCCCCCCCCCCTCCCCCCTCCTTCCCCTGCTTCCCCCCCCTTCCTTGCTGCAGCCAACGACTGCCTCATGTGGGCCCTCCCCACCGCCAAGGTGATTGGACATGCCGCCGAGAGGGCGGGGGCCGTTGCACCAGCCTCTGACGTTCATGCCGCCGCTGTTGCCGCGGGCCGGGCGCCGCCGCACGCCGCCGCCGCCGCCGCCGCTGTCGTCACTGTCGCTGCTGCCGCCATTGCCGTCCCAAGGGCCGTGGGAGCTGCCCACTTCCGGAGTCGTTGCGGCTCCTGCTGGGAATGGGGGTGCTGGGCTAGGGGGTGTGGGTGTGGGTGTGGGTGTGGGTGTGGGTGTGGGGGTGTGAGTGGGCTTGACACTACCAAGCCTAGGGGGTGTGTTCAAATTATATAAGTTAGAATTTAATATAGGCTTGCTAGGTTGTTACTGAACCTTTCTGTAGGGGGTACAAACCCCTCCTTGTACTCCCCTCTCTTCCTAATCCAACTCTCTTCTCTCTCGACACTCTCGTCCAGCTCCTAGCTAAACCCCGCCGCCACATTCATGGCGGCCTTGTTCCTGCCTAGTATCCTAGCCTAGAGCTACTTTAACAAACAGTTGCGACCCTATAGTATGACGAATAGGTCGCATAGCGCGCAATTAGCCGAACAGGTACTTTCCCTAGAGCTATAAACCCTTGTAATGCCTTTCTATTATTAACCTTGACTTTCTACATAATTATGTGCTCATGTTATTCAACCTTCGACTACCCACAAGTTCATGTGCTCAGGTTCACTCCTATAAGACTTCCGCTGTCTTACTAGTCTACCATTCCAGCAAAGATCCTTGGTTAAATACTCGTGTTAGCAGATTCTATACTTAGTCTCCTGCAACACCTGTCGAATTCGTACACTTGTTTTGTGTTTTAAGAAAAAAGAAAAGAAAAAAGCTATCTCTTCCCAAACTGGTATCTAAATGGGATTTTCTTATATATCTGTAATATAGTCTAATGTATTAATTACACTATATTATTGGTAAAAAATATGGAAAACAAAAATTGTATATGTTTTCCATAATTGCCTATCGCTCATTTTTGTCGACGACAAAAATAGGCAATCGCTTCCCCAGCTAAGTGGGGGAAATCGAAAGCCTAGTGGACAAGTCACACGACATATTTTGAGGCAATACATTTCATGACAACAACAAAATGGATTGCACTTATAATCTCCAGTTCAAATGACTGCACTCAAGGTGGAAAGTCAA